AGGCAATTAGCACTTGAAATAAAAGAACAGATTTAAATAAATTGGGGTAAATTGAATGATGTGATTCTTTAGAAAAAACACCACACACACAACCTGGCAGTGAGGGATTTGGGGGTCCAGTGGGGACCACCAAGTCCTTGGTTTTAGTGCCAGATCACCCTATCCTACTCTACCCTAGGCTGCAATCCTAAATACACCATGATTGCAATCCTATAAGAAGAGTCTTCCAGGGGCCGCATGTCAATGGTGGGTTTGGCCAGTGGGAAAAGTGGGTGGAGCAACAGGTGAGATTCTTACCATGGTGCAGTCTTGAAAAAGGCAGAGATTTCTTCACACACCTTTCTCCACCCTGTCAAGGAACAGGCATTATCTATATCCAGTCCAGGGTATGGCACAGCTGATTAGCTTCTTTATCCTTCACCTCACACACCATCACAAGCACATTGTTTTGTCAAGAAGTAAAAGTAATGTTTACTTACATAACCCAGGCCTTGAAGCAGCAGTTACAGCAGCAAAACGAAGGCAGGTTTATAACTACCATCTAAGTTGCTTAATTACAAAATCTAAGTTCAAAATGGTGTCTGAGCTGCAGAGCTCAAACATGCACATGTGCTCAGCTTGGAGGCATGATGGAGAAAGAGAGAGGTGCCCAGGCAGGAAGGAAGTATGTATGTACTGTTACAGCTTCCTGCAAAGGCAGACAAAGAAAGTGATCTCACAGAGTTATCTCTAGCAAATTTTACGGGAAAGCTCTGTGAGCCTCAGCCCTTTTACGTGCCTATCTGGCAAAACATGAATTGTTGGCTTGACTGCAATAATGTCCCACATACTCAAAGGTTTCCAACAGCAGCGCAAAAAGTAGGTGGCTGGTTCATTCTAATTCAGAGAGCAGGCAAGTTGCAGAGGATAATTTAGGGGAGAGCAACCAGTTTGGTCGCACGGGATGTGAAGCCAGAACAGTGTTGCAGGGGGTGCCACAACTAGGATGTAGAAAGGAAGGAGAGAGGACGGGGTGCCCCATGCAAATTTTGGCATCACACAGCGTGCCACTGAAATTTGAGACCTCAAGTTCTGCCACTGCAAGTTGGCTCTCTCTCATTCATGCCTGCCAACATTTCTCCGATGAAAATAGGAACATCCTGAGGAAAAGTGGGACATTCTGGGATCAAACCAAAAACCAGGACTGCTTCTGTAAATCTGGGACTATCCCTGAAAAATAAGGACGCTTAGAGGGTCTCCAGTGACAAATTACCCAGACCGTTCAGCCTGGACACTGAGATCCAGCGCCGAGGGCCTTCTGGCGGTTCCCTCATTGCGAGAAGTGAGGTTACAGGGAACCAGACAGAGGGCCTTCTTGGTAGTGGCACCCACCCTGTGGAACGCCCTCCCTTCAGATGTGAAGGAAATAAGCAGCTATCTTATCTTTCAAAGACATCTGAAGGCAGCCTTGTTTAGGGAAGTTTTTAATATTTAATGCTGTATTGTTTTTAACACTCAATTGGAAGCCGCCCAGAGTGGCTGGGGAAACTCAGCCAGATGGGCGGGGTATAAATAATAAATTATTATTATTATTATTACTTCCCAGATCACTTATGGGAGGAGGGCTTTGGGCTGCTATAGGAGTGCCCTGACCTGTCGTCTGCCTGGCCATGCAATAGGGAGCCAGGATCCCATTCATACAGATCCTGGCTTGCAAGTCCAACAGACCTCCCAGCTCCTGATAGTTTTTTCCGCCAAGCCTTTCCCTGAACTGAATAAGTTGGTCAGCCTTACCTTAGCCTGCAAAAACTGCCTTGCTATTTATACCATCTTGGACGCTTCTCTTTTCGAATTGCATCTCGCTAGCTCGTAAAAACGACCTGCTTATTTCTGACAGCGGCACTCGCTAAGTGGATGCCGCTTATTGATTGTCAAAATCAACATCTTTCCAAAGCTGTAATAGTAACTGTCCCTCCAAATGTGCCTCTGCCTCCCCGTGCCCCCCTTGCTAATGCTCAGCAGGCGAGACTTTGCATTTATAGCCTCCCAGAATAGTCAATGCCCGCAAGTCTCCACTCCTGTACGCCTACAGCTAAATCATGGTACCCAGCAGATGGTGCATATGTGTTTCCTAATGCAATGTCTTGTATGTGTGTAGTTGACATAATTAAATAATTGTCCCCCACGCCATCTCATGTAACAACTGAACCAGAACTATATCTCTCAAAGGGAAAGAGCCAGGCGCTTCTAACGTGTGCCAAAGGAATCGCGCACGCAAAGGAAGCATCCTCCCATAAATAAAACATGTTTTCTGCCTCCCTGTCGGTTTTATTGTTTAATCTGAACCTAAAGATCATGATGAGACTATGAGAGCACAAGAACATCTAGAACCCAGCTAGATCAGGTCAAGGGACGCGGGTGGCGCTGTGGTCTAAACCACAGAGCCTAGGACTTGCCAATCAGAAGGTCGGCGGTTCGAATCCCCGTGATGGGGTGAGCTCCCATTGCTCGGTCCTGGCTCCTGCCAACCTAGCACTTCGAAAGCACATCAAGTGCAAGTAGATAAATAGGTACCGCTCCAGTGCGCTGCTCTGGTTTGCCAGAAGTGGCTTAGTTATGCTGGCCACGTGACCCGAAAGCTGTATGCCGGCTCCTTTGGCCAGTAAAGCAAGATGAGCGCCGCAACCCCAGAGTTGTCCGTGACTGGACCTAATGGTCAGGGGTCCCTTTACCTAGGTCAGGTCAAAGGCCCATCTCATACTTTCCAACATTTCTCTGATGAAAATAGGGACGTCCTAAGGAAAAAGGAACATTCTAGGATCAAATCAGAAACCGGGACAGCCTCTGTAAATCTGGGACTGTCCCTGGAAAATAGAGACACTTTGAGGGTTATAGTGGCCCACAATCCTCCTCCCATAAGTGGGTCTCCTATTTGCATCCTCTTTTCAGGGGCCAACCAGGTGCCTGTGGGGAAACCTGCAAGCAGATCCCAAGCAAAAGAGCACTCTCCCCCTCCTGTGGATTGCAGCAACAGGTTTTTGGGAAGCATTATTGCCTCTGACCACAGAGGCAGAGCATAGTCAGCATGGCTAGTAGCCATTGAAAGCCTTTTCCTCCACGAATTTGTCCATCCTCTTTTCAAGACCTGTATGTTGGTGGCCCTCACTGCCCCCTGCAGAAGTGCGTTCCCTAGTTTAACTGCCGTGTGAAGAAGTTATTTCTGTTATACGCCCTGAATCTTCCAACGTTCAGCTGGATGCCTGTGAGTTTTAAGAGCGTCCATGAGGCAGTGCAAACTTTTGTAGGGTGTAGTCACAAGTGCATGGGCTGAACTCAGATCTGAAGTGATATTCCCTCCTTCGCTATCTTCTTGAGCAACCCTGTAGAGCACACGTGCTGCTCTCCAGGTGTTGTTGGACTTCAACTCTCATCATTCTCAACCACTGACCATACCAGCAGGGGCTGATGGGATTTGTAGTCCAACAACATCTGAAGTGCACCACCTTGTGCTGTAGAGCTTGGGACCCAAAGGTGACCCCCCCCATTGTAGGTCAGTGCTGGATCTGGGCTGAGACAAGGGAAGACCAGAGCACAGGTAGCTAAGGCAGGGGAGGGGATTCTAAAGTGACCCCCCACAACCCCACTCTATAGGCAAATCAGCGTACACATGTTTATTTAACAAGTATTTGCCCAGTTTGGCCTAAATCCTAGCCTCTGCCTGGGTTCGTTGGCTAACCCTCAACCCCATTCCATAGTAAGGTTGTTTCCCATGTGGTAAATTGCTGCTATTAGCGGAAAACTCAAGGATGTTTAAAAAAATGCTATCATGGGCCATTTGTCACTGATCATTGTCTCTCGTCCCATCGGGCAATTACCAAACAATAGGAGACAAGCTGGCATGAGAGAAGCTCTTATTTGAATGGAGCACACTCTGACACTCATTTAACTTCCTTTCCCCCCCTTATATTCTTTAGAATAATCTGGATCTTTTGTCATTCTTAATCTCTCTCCCCCTTGAGAGCCCTTTTCAATTTGTCAACACTCGGCTTCGGCGGTGGCGGTCAGACTACGGTACTCCGTCAGCTCAGGTCTCATGAGTGCTGAATGGAGAAATTCTATTTCTCTTTGGTTCTGTTTTCCCCACCTCTCCATTTTACAGTCCAGTCTGGCTCTTGACCTTTGAGCACCTGCAGCTCAGGTGTCCAATCTCCTGCACAGGTACTACCTGGGGCAGGTGGGGTTTGCAGTATTAGCACCAAGCCTATAAGCTAAGGATGTGTGTGTGTGTGTGTGTGTGATGCCTCAATGCCTTCCACAGGAAGATTTTGGACATCACATGGCAGGACTGAGTCTCAAACAAAGATGTGCTCTCCCAAGCCCACATTCCCAGGATGTTTACACACTCCTGTCTCAGTGATGTCTATGCTGGCTTGGTCATGCCCATGGAATGGAAGATGGCAGGACCCCCAAGGGTGTGCTCTAGGGGGAGCTGGCTTCAGACATCAGGCCCGTTGGCGGCCCATCTCTGTGTTACAAAGATGTCTGCAAATGTGACACAAAGGCTGGCAGCGTTAAACCCGCCGTCCAGAGTGGCTGGGGTATAAATAAATTATTATTATTATTATTATTATTATTATTATTATTATTATTATCCCTTGCAGACAACCACAGCACCTGGAGACAATCAAATTAGGTTGTGTCTCCACAGCAGTGAACATAGGAGGAATGAACACTGGGAGGAACGCCATGGCACACTCGCATCAGCACAACCGGATACCTTCAACAAAACGTGTCTCTCCCATATTGTTCTCTATGGCCACAGCGGGTGCTGTAAGCTTGAACGCAAAGCTGCACTCCTCCCTTGACTCCCAAAAAACATGAATGTCAACAACAACAGCTATCCAACATCCAGGGATATAGGAAGCTGCCTTATACTAAGTCAAACCATTTGGCCCATCTCATTCAATATTATCTGTACCAATGCTCCAAGGAATAAGGAAGAGGATGTTCTCAGCCTTACCTGGAGATGCCAGGGATTGACCCTGGGACCTTCTGCGTGCAAATCCGATGCTCTTCCAATGAGCTATGGCCTTCCCAAACATTTCCACCTCACCTTCCCTCAGCAACTGCATGGCACTGCCAACAGTCAAAACAGAGGGCCATGGAGCACTTCCTGTGCACCTGCTATTGCCATTTCCCACAGTACAGTGGTACCTTGGGTTACAAACACCTTGGGTTACAAACACTTCGGGTTACAGACTCCGCTAACCCGGAAGTAGTACCTCGGGTTAAGAACTTTACCTCAGGATGAGAACAGAAATCTCGTTGTGGCAGCAGGAGAGACCCCATTAGTTAAAGTGGTACCTCAGGTTAAGAATGGTTTCAGGTTAAGAACGGACCTCTGAAACGAATTAAGTTCATAAGCAGAGGTACCACTGTACCATCATGACAACAGTGTTGTGCCAAAGCTCTCTCTGCCCCAGTTTCAAAGGTTGCTTAGCATGTGGCATTGGAAGTGGCAGAAATAGTCCAGTGTTTCAGATACAGAAATTGAAAGCCTCTGTCCGTCGGTGGGTGCAAAATGAGCTGCTATGTTCTGGCCCACTTTTGCAAATACCCCAAACTGCCACAATGATGATAAAGATGCCAGCAACGCCTTGTTGTGAAAATAGACTTGCTAATTCCTTGTTGTTGTGTTTTCCAGAAGTGTGTTTCCATAAGTATGCATAATGCATTCTCCCCATCACTTTGTAACTTCTGGAGCAAAGACTGTAATCTGTTTAAGAAGAACATGAATCAGACTGATAAAAAGTAATTGGCTGTTGTTGTTGTTTTTAAAAAAACCAAAACCCTATTTTTTATATATATAAAAAAACCACCCAAAAATAAAAAATAAAGCTGTCAAAAAGTTCTTATGGTAATGAAGAGCTTTGTTGTTATGACAATTGCACAGTCTTTCCTTCTCTTTTGAAGAAGCCTGCAATGTGAAATTTGATAGGCAAAAACATCAGGAATAATTAAAACAAATGGTAAGTGAAGGGGAGGGAAAAGAAAAAAAACATCTGCAAGTACAGATCCCCGCCAGAAAGCTTTAAAATCACACTTGTTAAGTGACAAACTTCAAATGGGATGCATATATATATAAAAACTGACACAGACCGATTCGCCAGCTGCCAGGGGCTAGGATAATCACACACTCCGAGTCCCAATGCTTTGGGTAGAGCAAGGATTCCTTCCCTTGCTGCTTTCTCATTCAATCCATCACACGAGGCATAATGTGCCACATGTACTTCTGGTGACTGAAGCGGGAGGAGTTTTTCATAGCGCGTTATGCTCTTTCAAGGAGCGCAATTATTCATGCTTCTCCCGTCGCATGAAACATCACAGTTGGGAACAAGGAATCTAGACACCTCACGCTCCACAGGACAGCGGGGTTGGGGGGATTTTGGAGCAGGAGGGCCGCATTCTTCCCTGAGGAACCTTCTGAGTGCCGGTGGTGGGCGGGGCCAGAGGGAAAAGTGGGAGGAGCAAAGGGAGCGATCCTCACCTGTGTACAGCAGGCTACGTTCCAGGCAGAGGTTTCTGTACAGAGATACTTCTCTATCCAAGCAATGTGAGAAGCAACGCCGCTCCTCAAGGATGCCTGAGGTTCTGCACCTGAGCCTTACAGACTGCCATCTTTATATGCTAGTTAGAGAAGAATTAGAATGGAGAGGGACAGGGTGGGGCCTGAAGAGGTTTGGTCCTTGAAGGAACCCGTAGCCACCACTGTTTTGGAAGCTGCAGCTGGTGCAAAAATGTGGTCCATTATACAGGCTGCCAGCTAGTTCTAGGGACAATTTGTAATTGCCTTGTGCTTGGGAAACAGTATTTAGGGGAGGCAAGGAAGCAGAAGACCTCAAAGGAGTGGAAGACACCCACACCCACTCACCCACTGCTCACTGCCAGGGAGAGCAGGTCTGTTTCTGCTCATGAGAAGTTGCCATGCGCAGCCATTGATTTTCTCCCACAGGAATGAATGGTGACCGTTGTATGTATGGTGGAGCCAAAATGTCTCCAGTGAGAACTTTGGGGTGAAAGAACTTGGCAGGTGTGAAGAAGCCTGATCTTTTCTTGGGGGTGGGAGGAGATATATTATTTGACAGGCTGTTGGGGGATGGTACAATTCCCAGAGTTCCCTGGGAGGAAGAATTGATTGTTACGCCATTCTGGGAATTGCAGTTCTGTGAGGGGTCTCCCAACAACTCTCCAAACCCTTCACAAACTGCAGTTCCCAGGACTCTTTGTGGGAAGCAGTCATGCTGTTTAAAGTGGTACAATTCTGCCTTAAAGGCACAGTGCAGATGGGGGCCTAGGAATGCAAACTTAACACACAACAGAAACAGACTAACCTGCCTGCCCCTATTCCCCTTCTGTTATCATCCCACTGTCCAAAATACAGTTTGGGTGGTGCTGAGTCCTGCTCACCCCTTTACCTCATGTCATTATACATTGATTCCGCCGTTATTTATTAATTTCATTTCATAAGTTTTATGTGCTTGCTTGGTTGTAGGGTGGAAAAGAAACCTCACAGCGGTTTAACAAATCAGGTAAAACAATAAAATGATCACTGAAAGACTTATAACCATGATTTAAAACATATAGAAAGTTAAAACTGCAATAGAATAGATGGATTTTTTTTTTTAAGAATGTCTCCGGCAGGCCATATTGATAGCTCAGTAGCAGGGCATTTGCGATGAGTTTCGCCTAAATATTATCTCGCTTGCATTGACGAGTGGATGAAATGATCGTCTTGGACGCTAGGTGGTGCTGTAACAGTTGTTTGCTGAGCAGGTGAGAGGAACAGAGGCAAAGCAGGGAAGCTTACTTGGCTATTAAGGCTGCCTATGCACTAAGCCATTGGTGGCACAAAGATGCAGCTTTGCTCCACCTGGAATAGTTCATGAGAACGTAAGAAAAGCCTACTTGATCAGGCCAGTGGCCCATCTAGCCCTGTATCTGGTTCTTGCAATAGCCCAGAGGTGGACTGAGAGCGGTGTGATGGGCTCTGTTGCATCTGGTGCCAAGCCTAGGGGGCGCTGCAGGGCGTTGCAACTATGACATAGTGAGTTGAACAGAACAGAAGGTGAGAGGTGGAGAGTTGCCGACTTTTGGCCTTGCACTGGGCGCTGCTGAAATTTGAAAGACCAAAGCCTGCCAGGGACAGCCTTGTTTTCCACACTTGTCCTTAGCAGCTTTGATCTCCAATGGATTGGGTGCAGACACAGTCTCTGATTGCCTGTGGGGGGGGTGGAACCCTGGAGAGGTTTTAGGCAGCTGTGGGAAGGCAGGGACCTGCGGTCCTTGCAACTGCCACATTGGGGCAAGTCCTACTGAGAAGTGTTGCTGGGATCACTAGGCCTGAGCTGTTTTGGTTTCTTTGAACAAAGGGTTAACTTTCCTGACCCTGGTGTTTCTTCATTGCTGACCTGCTCCTGTGATCTAGGGTAGCTTCTGGTGTTTCTGGTGAAACATCCGAACAGAGCCGTAATGCATTTAGCTCTCGCCGCACAACTGTGGACTCTTGCATGTGTGTAATGAGCATCCGTACAGACCTTCTGCTGTTTGGGCTTGTTGCCACAAAGCTGATCTCCCCTTCTAAGCATTCAGTGTTTCTTTTTCTTCATTTGTATAAGGATTAGGATGTTGTGTGGGTGTGTGGAATGAGAGACAGACAGACAGACTCAGGAGAGTTTGTATGTTGCATGGTGATATATATGCTTTCCTGAGACAGGGATGCAGAACTTTGTGGTCTTCCAGTTGTTGTTAGAATACAACTCCCATAATCTGTGACCATCAGCTGTGGAGCTTTTGGGAACTGGAAACCAAAAGCATCCAGAGATACTACTGGTTCTCGTTCTCTCTCTCGCTCTCTCTCTGAAGGAATCTTCCCAGGGAGATTTGCAATTTGAGGAAAACCAAAACAGAGGGTTAAGCTGATGTTTGGGGCATATGAATGATGCACTGCCAGAATACAAGGTTGCTGCCTGATGATGAGCTATACTTTGCCACTGGGCTGTACCTAAACTAGATGGCACCTCAACTTTTGAAGAGAAAAGATGAGAAGAAAAGGGTCGGGCAAAAGAAAAGAAGAGAGAATTTGGCAAATCTAGCCAGAAAAGAAAGGAAGTGGGAGCATTATGTAAAGATAAAATAATGCACAAAGCAAAACTAAACGTGTCTCCCGGGTCGCAGTTTGGTGTTAAAGATGGTTCGTGGGTTTGGAAATACCAAAGACCCTTGAATTAGTTTACCTGTGGGGGTCCCTTTCCCAGTTTTTGCTGGGTGCCCTTTTGCAAATGGGAAAGGCTTACTGTCTGATAATGATGATTACCAAGTCCCCCCAGGAATAACACCCGCAAGCTTTCTAGAGACGGTGTGCTCAAATCTTTGTTCTTTCCCTTGTAGTTGCATTAAAGACAGTTTGTACTCCAAAGGTTAACACTGTCACCGAACACTCCAGACTCTGACAGCCTGCTAAGAGGCCTGACAAAGCTATAAATGGGTGTGTGCGGCTGCGGCTGCTGGCAGAAGCCGCTTTTTCTCTCTCTCCCTGTTCCCACAGGTGCGAGTGGTTCTGGTGACAAGAGGGGCGAGGAGGAACACTTAAGAGACCAATTAGTGCGGAAACTATTCCTTTATCTAATCTGTGCTTCGCGCCAACACTAAAGTGTTTCCCCCAGGGGCTTACCTAACAGCGTGTTAACCCCAGAGCAAGCATGGCTAACATCTGTGATTTCAGGGGCCATTCAAGACATGCGTTTCGGGCAGGAGCAGAGCAACCTGGGCACCCCAACACAGGTGGCCGGAATAATAAAGAGATGAAACACTAGCTTCTCCGACCTGAATGTAAGAACTTAAGAAACATGCGCAGGATCAGGTCAATGGCCCACCAGGTCCAGCATCATAGTCTCACATTGGCTCATCTGTGGGGAACTCACAGGCAGGGATCAAGCTCTCTCCCTCTGCTCTCTGTTTTCCAGCAACAGTGAGTTCCGTAGTTTAACTGTGTGCTGAACTGTCCCAAATCCTCTAACATTCAGCTTCATTGG